ATAACATGTCCCCGAAACGCCTCTGCTAACTTCATTCGCGAACGCACATATAGAATTATGAACGCTCGTGTGAATTACCGTTTTCCCGTTGTAAAACAGACTTTACCGTTTTGTACGTGAAATGAAATCACCGCATTATGCGCGCAATATTTCTGGCGAAGATTCTTGTTAGCCACGTCAGAAAAGACAAGACTCAAAATTCAGTTAGGGCGGGGGCAGCGCGTTCATTTTCGCCACTTGTACAAAAGTTTGACACCCGTCGAATCTGGAGGTTACTGTAGCTTTTTTGTACCGCGCTTAGTTTGTGTCCCAGGTGGGACACGCGCGTCCAAAATCCGGCGCAGGACCCGCCACATTTTTGCCAAACCGCCCACCCAATGAGGTAACCCTGTGCCCCCGAATTGAAGGTGCCGCCGTATGAATCTGTGTTTGTGAACCCTAGGATTTGCGAGGGTCGTACGCGCTTGACGAAGTCGTGGTGCGGTTTCGCTGACGTTTTCAAGGGCTTTCTCAAATGATGCGCGGGTTGTTCGCGGACGTTGTGGGAACGTGTTTTGTTCGATTGACGGCACGGAAAACAGCCACCGTTCATCCACTGTATACTCTGTCGTGTCCACAGGTTACCCTAAATCGGGGTTACAAACCCCTGAATCTGGTAACTGTTTCGGGCTAAGCCAGGAAAATGAACGCGCTGCCCCCGCCCTTATTCGACTAAAATTTCGAGTTTAACCCCGAGCACCCCTCAGAATCCCGTAGCACCACTCCGAAACACACGCGCACCCCTCACGTGCGCAATCACGCACGACCAGACAAATTGGTCGTGCTGTACTGCGCCAAGACTTGCGCCATCCTACGCAAGGATATGGCGATCATTTCGCCTGTCTTGTTGCGGACGTGCCTTCTGCGAACGCTCGCAACAGTGCGAGCCACACGCGTGGGCGTGAAGGCCCACACGCGCATGTCTGGACCACGCGCGGGATCCTGACAGTCGCGCGCTTTTTGACCAGCTCCAGACTGGAAAAAGGGCCCAGTCAAAGACTCGAGCCCCACCTCCCCAGCACAATCAACTCACACATTTAACACTCATGAAAATGCATGAACAAAACATGAACAAACGTGAACGAAACATGAACGGTCAGGAACGAACATGTGCGTACATAACGAACATGAACATTTGCACAAACAACGCACAAAGACTAATGAACAAACATGAACATTCTGAATTTTGCGCACAATCATGAAACACCACGAAAGAACATGAAACACACAGGAACAATCATGAAAACTGATGAATGCAACTTCACACTAAAATGCACATAACTTAAGAACTGCTAAGATGATTCACAACTGTAAGCGCACGAATGAAAAGCGCACAAATAAACATCACATAGAATCAATCAAATTTCACCTTGCTCGACGAGTAGGCGACAGGTTCACCTGCAAATTAATTTTTTGCACGCAGCACATCGCTCTTATTTCAACAGGCAAATTACAACATACACGTCGAGCTAGGAAACATAAGTGCTAGTAAATGTCTTTGTCAGAAACTAGCAGCAGGAATGAATGCATTGAAGAGAAATAGAGTACAAGTACTAACCCTAATTGGGTTGTACCCCTTATAGGCTACCCCACTACAGCCTACACAATATAAACATTAACATTTTTTTACACATCCCCCATAAGCAAAGTGGAGGAGAATAAGTGGTCAGAAGACCAGTCAAGAAAAGCAAAGCAAGCTCAGGGTGGATCACGAAGTCACCACACATTTCGAGCACAAGCAAATGGCCACAAGGCCAGTTCACATGATGCGTTATTTAAAACAAAGCAAACAGTACAGTGATCACCACCTAGCAAGTGTAAGCATGCAGTTATTATATATAGATCACAGTACAAGCAAGGTCACGCAGTGAGCAAGTGAGTTAACGTAGGCACGAGGCCTAAAGCAGTTACAGACGCTGATGATCACCAGGCGGAAGTGCCTTGGTGAATATATCAGCTGTGTTGGCCCGAGTGGCGATGTAAGCAAGACAAAGCTGGCCACGGTGTTGCAACTCTCGAGCAAGGAAGTAACGCAGAGCGATGTGCTTCGTTCTGTGCTTCAGTCTGTGCTCCTGACACAAGGCGATGGCGGCCTTGTTGTCTACGTACAGAACTGGAGGAGAACTACGCCGCTGTCCCAAGTCAGTCAGCAGGTAGCTGAGTCAGCGTAACTCTTGTGCAGCCATGGCTCCTGCGTAGATCTCAGCCTCACAACTGGAGCTGAGAACAGAAGACGAGCGGGTAGACCGCCAAGAAACAGAGCCGGAACCAAGGCTGAACACGTAACCCTGTGATGACCGCTGCGTAGCCAGGTCGTCAACCCAAGAGGCGTGTGATGTCAAAATATTGTATTATATATGCTGTAGTGGGGTAGCCTATATGGGGTACAACCCAGTTTAGGGTTAGCACTTGTACCAAACCCTGTCATAGTTCATTCATTCGTGCTGGTCATTCTGACATGGTATCAGAGCAGGTCCTGTCCCAGGACCGTTCTCGTTAGGGCCCACCGATCGAACCCTGCACGTCAAGCTGCCCCACCACACGCGCATGACCTGCGCTGCCCTGCGTTGCGCCGCCCCGCGCACGCCCTGCCCTGCCTTGCGTTGCGTTCCGTTGCCCGCGCACGCCCTGCCCTACCCTGCACTGCGCCGCCCCGCGCACGCCCTGCCCTATCCTGCGCTGCGCCGCCCCGCGCACGCCTTGCCCTACCCTGCGCTGCGCCGCCCCGCGCACGCCCTGCCCTGCGTCGCGCTGCCCCGCGCACGCCCTGCCCTGCCCTGCGTCGCACGCCCCACGCATGCCCCTGCTACCCCTCGCGTCATGCGCCCCTGCTGCTCGTCGCGTAGGGCGCCCCTGCTGCCCGTCGCGCCGCGTGCCCCTGCTGCCCGTCGCGTCACGTCGCCCGTGCGGATTGCCCCAGCCCGCCGCGTCGCCCGTACGCCCTGCCGTGCCCGTCGCGTCACCCGTGCGGGCTGCCTCAGCCCGTCGTGTCGCCCATCCGCCCTGCCCCTGACCGTTGCGTCGCCCGTGCGGGCTGCCTCAGCCCGTCGCGTCGCCCGTCCACCCTGCCCCTGCCCGTCGCGTCGCCACTGCAGCCCGCGCTCGCCTCTGCAGCTCGCGCTCGCCCCTGCAGCCCGCGCTCGCCCCTGCAGCCGCGCTCGCCCCTGCAGCCCGCGCTCGCCCCTGCAGCCCGCGCTCGCCCCTGTAGCCCGTGCTCTCCCCTGCAGCCCGCGCTCGCCCTTGCAGCCCGCGCTCGCCCCTGCAGCCGCACTCGCCCCTGCAGCCGCGCTCGCCCCTGCAGCCCGTGCTAGCCCCTACCGTCGCGCCGCCCTCCGCAACCCGCGCTCAGCTCTGTTGACCGACCGTAGCCCTCCTTGGTCGTGCACCGCCCGTCTTTGGCCGTACGCCATCTTGCCTTACCCTACATGCTACTCTAGTGCCTGCTCGCCGCCCTGCCTTCTCTGAGTGCTGCCCTGCTGGTCGCACGCCTCCTCGGTTTGCCCGCTATGACTTCTCTTCGTGGTAGCGGTGGGAGTGGTGGCGGCGGTGGTGGCAGCAGTGGGAGTGTTTGCAGCGGCCGTCATAGCACTCGCGGTGGAGCTGTTCAGTGGGGAGTTTTTAACGGTGGCCAAATGAGCCGCAGCGGTGTCCGCGCGAGACCCTTACGTCTCAGCACCTTCGTGAGTGGTTAGCTCAGCGTGACCCTGGGTGTACTGCTCGCTGCTCGTACGTCATTCGCACAGGTCGTCGGGCTGGTCAGACCTGTGGGACACATGGCCACTCACAGTCCCGCTGCTTTGCCTATCTGAGCGACGCCTGGCGCGCAGAGTTTGGCGTCGCGGCTGAGCTCCCCCACTGGTTAGAGCTGCGTCGGCGCGGTGTGGATATATTTGCTCTAGACTATGACGCTATCCTTACGGCCATGTACTCTTTGCCTGCTGGTACTGAGGGTGACTGCTACCTGTGTGTGCCGCCCGACCCAGGTATAGCGGCTGCTGCTCTAGGTGCTAGTGAGTCTGCTCTCTCTGGTATAGAGGCTGCTGCTCTAGGTGCTAGTGAGTCTGCTCTCTCTAGTACTGCGCCTGCTGAGGCCTTGCACACCTTCACACTTGACTCAGGTGCTTCCAATGTTTCTTTCGCGACAGTACCATAGTCACACCACTCCCTGCACCTGTTGCAGTCTCTTTGGCTGACCCCTCCGGATGCCCAGTTCTTGCACGTTCCTCCACTGTTCTCCCGTGTCCGGCAGTCCCCTCCGTCTGGCTCACAGACAGGTCTTCAGCTCCCCTTATTCTTTTCGAACTTGGTGAGTACTGCTGTCCTACCGAATGCGGAGGTTGATACCTTTACCCATGGAGGACAGCGTGTGGCGATCTACACGTATGCACAGACTGGCCATCACCTTGCCACGTTCACTCGTCCGCCTAGGTCGAGCCTGTACACACTGACTACTGAGCCTACTCAGGTCGCTGCATTTGGTCAGGTGTCTGCATCAGGTCAGCTGTCAGCCCCTTGTTCGTGTCGCCTCCTTTCGCACCAGACTCTCCTCTGGCACCACCGCCTTGGTCACCCCTCCCTGCCACGCCTCCGTGGCATGCACTCCCACCTCCTTGTCTCTGGCCTTCCCAGGTCTCTGCCCCCCCTCCCGCGCTCGCCTGCCCCGCCCTGCATTCTTTGCACCGAGGGGCGGCAGTGCGCCGCTCCTCACTCCTCCTCGTTTCCCCCGACGACTGCTCCCCTGCAGACTCTCCACATGGACATGTGGGGCCCAGCCCGCGTAAGTGGATATGGCCGCTAGCGGTAATTTCTGCTGGTTGTTGACGACTACTCGCGTTACACCACGGTCTTCCGGTTGCGCAGCAAGGGAGAGGTCCCTGTTGTTTTGATCCCTTGGATCCGTATTGTTCGTCTCCAGCTCCGCGAGCGGTTCCGCACGGACCTTCCTGTCCTGCGTCTGCACCATGACAAAGGTGGTGAGTTCTCCTCCGACCTCTTGCAGGACTTTTGTCAGGGGCTCTCGTGCCTTTGTCTTCGATACCACCGCAGGCAAGCTCTCCCCTTGCGCCATTCCCTGCGTCTTCCTTGGCTTTCCCCCTGAGGCGCCTAACTGGCAGTTTTACCACCCCACCTCGCACCGTGTCTTCGCGTCCCAGGACGTCACCTTTGACGAGTCGGTTCCCTTCTACCGTCTCTTCCCCTACCACAGTGCCCCTCTTCCCCCCCACTCCCCCCCCCCCCCCCGCCGCTCTTCCTCGCTCCAGGTCCCCCTCCGGTAGACCCCCTCCCCCCTCAGGGTCCTGCTCCTTTAGGTGTGTCTCAGGTAGACCCACTTTCCTTGGATGAGCATGTCGAGGTGACTGTTGACTCAGGTGCTGCTGGTGGTGGTCCTGCTCGGGGTGCTGCGTCTGGAGGTGCTGAGCCTGAGCGTGCGGAGCCTGGGGGTGCGGAGCCTGAGTGTGTGGAGCCTGGGGGTGCTGAGCCTGGAGGTGCCGGGCCTAGGGGTGCTGCGTCTTCACTACGGGAGCCTCTCTCACCACAGCAGCTGCGTGAGTGGCTTGCTCGACGCTCCCGCCTTCGGAGTGGTGCTGCTGGAGCTGGAGGCGCCAGAGCTGGAGGTATTGGAGCTGCCAGGGCTAGTGGTGCTGCTAGTCCTAGAGGTGCTGAAGAACCTGCTGGAGCTGGAGGTACTGGGGGTACTGGAGCTACTAGTACTAGAGGTCCTACAGGTGTCTCGCCACCGCAGTCTAGTCGGCGAGAGCCTCTCTCACCACAGCAGCTGCGTGAGTGGCTTGCTCGACACTCACGCCTTTGGAGTGGCGCTGCTGAAGCTGGGGGCGCTGGGGCTGGAGGCTCAGGAGCTGGAGCTGCTGGTCCTGGAGGTGCTCGTACTGGAGGTGCTGGAGCTGCCGGAGCTGGTGGTGCTGCTGGTGCTAGAGGTGCTGGTGGTGCTGGCACTGCTGGTCCAAGAGGTGCTCGTCCTAGGGGTGCTGGAGCTGGAGGTCCTGGAGCTGCTAGTCCTGGAGGTGCTGGAGGTCCTACTGGATCTGGAGGTACTGGGGGTGCTCGAACTGCTGGTCCTGTAGGTGCTCGTAATGGAGGTACTGGAGCTGCCGGGGCTGGTGGTTCTGCTGGTATTGGAGCTGCAGGAGTTGGTGGTGTTGTGGGCTCAGGAGCTGGTGGCGCTGGCACTGGAGGCGCTGGAGCTGGAGGCGCTGGAGCTGGAGGCACTGGCGCCGACTAGAGGCGCTTGAGCTGGAGGTGCTGGATCTGGAGACACTGGCACTGGAGACACTGGAGCCAGAGGCACTGGAGCTGGAGGCGCTAGAGCTGGAGGTACTGGAGCCGGAGGCACTTGAGCTGGAGGCACTGGAGCTGGAGGCGCTGGAGTTGGATGTACTGGAGCCGAGGCACTGGAGCTAGAGGCACTTGAGATGGAGGTTCTGTGCAGCAGCAACCGTTTTTCGAGCCGACGCCGCAGCTGTCCGAGCTTCTGCCCGAGTCGGTGCTCTGCCAGGTTCTTAGTCTTTCTTCGTCCACTGCCCTTCAACCTGGCTCGTCGCTGCCTGGCCCGTCTTGTTGCACTGAGCAGCCGGTCTCCCTTACAGAGCGTCGTGAGCCTGCGTCTCGTCTTGTCTCCCATGTTCGCTCTGGTCGTACCGCTCGTCGTGTCCCGTGTCCGCGTCCTCCTCCTGTGCCAGGCACTCACACTATGGCACTTCGTCCTTCCTCTGCTCCACAGCGCGTCCCTCTGCCGTCTCCTCCTGCGTCCTCTCTTCCTGAGATTCCTGACCCTGAGTCTGATTGTGTTCGTGTTGCGAGCCCCACTATCACGCGTCTCCAGGAAACTGTTGTCACTGACTTGTCATTTGAGTCCACTGCTGCGTCTGCTTTAGTCGCTGAGCTTATCAACTTTACTGCTGCGTGTCGTCTAGACTACGCCGCCAGTCTTGTTGCAGAGTCTGAGTCTGTCTGTCCTCCGTCAGTCGGGGGTGAGTGTGCTCTTAGCACGGACGTCCTTGAGGACAGGCAGGAGGACTTTGAGTCTCTTGCGGCTGTTATACCTCATCTCGTGGCCTGGCTGCTTGCACCTGAGGGAGACCCAGATGCACTGGACATCCCGACCCCGCGCTCTTACACAGAGGCGATCTCGGGTCCCTACTCCTCTCAGTGGCAGACACCCATAGATGCAGAGATGGCATCCTGGAATTCCACAGGCACCTACGTCGACGAGGTTCCCCCTCCTGGGGCGAACATAGTCGATGGCATGTGGATTTTCAGGGTGAAGCGGCCGCCGGGTTCTCCGCCTGTCTTCAAGGCTCGTTACGTTGCACGAGGCTTCAGTCAGCGGCAGGGAGTTGACTTCTTCCAGACCTTCTCCCCCACCCCGAAGATGACCACTCTTTGGATATTGCTACACGTTGCCGCTCAGCGTGACTACGAGCTTCACTCTCTTGACTTAAGCAAATCTTTCTTGCAGGGCAGCGTGCACGAGGAGATCTGGCTGCGCCGCCCACCTGGCTTCACTGGGTCGTTCCCTCCTGGTACCCAGTGGAGCCTCCGGCGGCCAGTCTACGGTCTTCGCCAGGCGCCTCGTGAGTGGCACGACACACTGAGGACGACACTTGTGGCTCTTGGGTTTACTCCCTCCACTGTTGACCCGTCGCTGTTTCTTCGCACCGACACTTCTCTGCCGCCGTTCTGTATCAATTGAACACACACAATCAATGTCGTCGCTGATAAATATAGCAGTGGAGTGCCCTAAAAGACACGGTGGCAAATGTCAACGACCCAACTCTACATAAGCAACTGTCTATCACAACCCCAACTGCTCTGCCTCAAGGCACAGCTGAGCCAGCGTGGTCCTAGTGTCATTAATCTCAAGCCTTTGCCGAGTGTTTTGATCCTGCCATGTCTTGATGATCTTGGCCGCCCGTATCTGCTGTGGGCTCAGACGGTGTGTCTGCCATCAGATGATGTTCCTGCTCTAACTGAAGACTCGCTCACTCGCCGCAGACGTGACGGGTATACCAAAATAACCGCGTGCCATGGCCCTAAGCCCAGACAGCTAAGAAGCACCCACCCTTCTGTCTCGCCTCAGCCAAGCACTCGTCCACCTTGTTCTGTGCCCGCACCCCCTCCTCTGCCTCCATCTCTACCAGCAAAGAAGAATCCACGTGCGATGCATGTGTCACCCATTCATTATAAACGCATGCCATCCTTTGAGGGTATGGCATAAAGCACATGAGATAGAGTGCCATATTGATGGGACATTGGTACAAGTGATGCTATACATCCATCGAACACACAATCCATAACCCCATACTTACATTAGACTCATCGAAGTACATCGTGAGAGGAATGCGCAGATCCTACCCCTGCAGCACCATCTCTAGCATGGAACCCTAGCGCGTTGGCGAGTCGACAATCAGGCGCATGTCATCTGGTACCTTCCGCGCACTGCCTCCCTGTACAGTGCCCCCCTCTGCCGCCGTCCCCACACGGGTCGCTGCATACCATCTCTGAATGTCGAAAAACCACTCCGATCGCTGCACCGACCACCCGATGTGGCTGGCCACAGCTCGCTGTCAAACTATAATGGTGCTTGTTGTGTGTAGGCTGTAGTGGGGTAGCCCATAAGGGGTACAACCCAGATTAGGGTTAGTACTTGTACTCACATTTCCCTTCAATGCATCATTCATTCCTGTTAGATTCTGAGATGGTATCAGAGCTGGTCCTGTTCCAGGACCGTTCTCGTTCGGGCCCACCGATCGTACTCTGCCCGTAGCGCGTTACCCTACCCGTAGCGCGTTACACTGCTGGTTGCCTAGCGCGCGCTTGGACCTGCCATGCGTTGCGCCGCCCCGCGCACGCCCTGCCCTATGTTGCGCTGCCCGCTGACGCCCTGCCTCAGCTGCCCGTCGCGTCGTGCGCCCCTGCTGCCCGTCGCGTTGCGCGCCCCTGCTGCCCGTCGCGTCGCGCGCTCCTGCTGCCCGTCGTTCCGCGCGCCCCTGCTTCCCGTCGCGCCGCGCGCCCCTGCTTCCCGTCGCGCCGCGCGCCCCTGCTGCCCGTCGCGTCGTGTCACCCTTGCGGGCTGCCCCAGCCCGCCGCGTCGCCCGTACGCCCTGCCCTGGCCCGTCGCGTCGCCCGTTCGCCCTGCGCCTGCTCGTCGCGTCGCCCGTGCGGGCTGCCCCAGCCCGCCGCGTTGCCCGTACGCCCTGCACTGGCCGTCGCGCGAACCGCGCGCGCCCTGCCCTGCCCGCGCGTTGCATGTACGCCCTACCCTGGCTGACACACGGCCCGCGCACGCCCTGCCCTGCCCGCGCGCTGCGTCTACACCCTGCCCTGCCAGTTGTGCGGCCCGCGCACGCCCTGCCCTGCTCGCGCGCTGCGCGTACGCCCTGCCCTGTCTGTCGCGCGGTCCGCGCCCGCCTTCCCCTGCGTCGAGCCGTCTGCACGCGCCCTCCCCTGCCTGCGTGCCGACCTACTTCCAGCGCGCCGCCCTGCTCTGGCTGCGCACTGCCCTTCCCTGACATTGCACCGCTATGACTTCTCTTCGTGGTAGCAGTGGGAGTGGTGGCGGCGGCCGTAGTAGCAGTCGCAGTGGAGCTGTTCAGTGGGGAGTTTCTGGCGGTGGCCTGAGCAGCTGCAGCGGCGTCCGCTCGAGACCCTTACGTCCCAGCAGCTTCGTGAGTGGCTTTATCAGCGTGGGGGATCACGGTGTACTGCTCGCTGCCCGTAAGTCATTCGCACAGGTGATAGGGCTGGGACAGTTTGCCACACACAGTCACGCTGCTTCACCTATCTGAGCAACGCCTCGCGCACAGAGTTTGGCGACGAGGCTGAGCTCCCCTGCTGGATAGAGCTGATTCGAAACAAAGTGGATATATTTGCTCTAGACTATGACACTATCCTTACTGCCATGTATGCTCTGACTGGTACTACTGAGGGTGACTGTTACCTGTGTGTGCTGCCCGACCCTGGTATAGTGGCTGCTACTCTAGGTGCTAGTAAGTCTGCTCTCTCTGGTACTACGCCTGCTGAGGCCTTGCACACCTTCACGCTTGACTCAGGTGCCTGTGTACCGCCCGACCCTCGTATAGTGGCGGCTACTCTAGGTGCTAGTGAGTCTGCTCTCTCTGGTACTGCACCTGCTGAGGCCTTGCACACCTTCACACTTGACTCAACTACCTCTCGCTGCTTCTTTTGAGATAATACCACAGTCACACCACTCCCTAGACCCGTTGCAGTCTCACTGGCTGACCCCTCTGGGGGAACAGTTCTTGCACGTTCCTCTACTATTCTCCCGTGTCCGGCGATTCCGTCCAGCTCACTGTCTGGTCTCCACCTCCACCCGTTCTCGACGAACTCGGTGAGTAACGCAGTCCTTCAGGATGCTTGAGTTGATACCTTTATTCCTGGAGGGCAGCGTGTGGCGATCTGCACGTGCTCTCGGACTGGCCGTCACCTGGCCACGTTCACTCGTCGGCCGGGGTCGAGTCTGTACACACTGACTACTGCGCCGCCTCAGGTCGCTGCACCTGCTCAGGTGTCCGCGTCACGCCAGGTAGAAGCCTCCTGCTCACGTTGCCTCCTGTCGCACCAGACAATCCTTTGGCACCACCGCCTTGGTCACCCCTCCCTGCCACGCCTCCGTGGCATGCACTTTCGCTTCCTGGTCTCTCTTCTTCCCAGGTCTCTGCCTTCCCTCCCACCCTCGCCTGCCCCGCCCTGCATTCCTTGCGTCGAGGGGTGGCAGCGCGCCGCTCCTCACTCCTCCTCGTTTCCCCCGACGACTGCTCCTCTGCAGACTCTCCACATGGACGTGTGGGGCCCAGCCCGCGTCACTGGACAGGGCCGCGAGCGGTACTTTCTGCTGGTTGTCGACGACTACTCGCGTTACACCACGGTCTTCCCCTTGCGCTCCAAGGGTGAGGTCACTGCTGTTTTGATCCCTTGGATCCGTGCTGTACGTCTCCAGCTCCGCGAGCGGTTCCACTCGCACGGACCTTCCCGTCCTGCGTCTGCACTCTGACAGAGGTGGTGAGTTCTCCTCTGACCTCTTGCGGGACTTTTGTCAGGGGGAGGGCATCCTCCAGTCGTTCACGCTTCCGGCCTCACCGCAGCAGAATGGGGTTGCTGAGCGCCGCATTGGCTTAGTCATGGAGGTGGCTCGTACCTCCATGATCCATGCGGCTGCTCCCCATTTTCTGTGGCCGTTTGCGGTCCGGTACGCTACGCATCAGCTCAACCTCTGGCCCCGTGTCTCCTTGCCGGAGACCTCGCCCACACTGCATTGGACGGGGGAGGTTGGCGATGCGTCGCGGTTCCGGGTCTGGGGCTCTCGTGCCTTTGTCCGCGATACCACCGTAGGCAAGCTCTCCCCTTGCGCCATTCCCTGCGTCTTCCTTGGCTTTCCCCCTGACGCGCCTGGTTGGCAGTTTTACCACCCCACCTCGCGCCGTGTCTTCCCCTCTCAGGACGTCACGTTTGACGAGTCGGTTCCCTTTTACCGACTCTTCCCCTACCGCACTGCCCCCCTCCCCCCCCCCGCCGCTCTTCCTCGCTCCAGGTCCCCCTCCGGTAGACCCCCTCCCCCCTCAGGGTCTTGCTCCTTCAAGTCTCTCTCAGGTGGACCCACTTCCCTTGGCTGAGCCTGTCGAGGTCACTGGTGACTCAGGTGCTGCTGGGGGTGGTCCTGGTCGAGGTGTTGCGTCTGGTGGTGCTGCGCCTGGGGGTGCTGAGCCTGAGCGTGCAGAGCCTGGGGGCGCTACGCCTGTGTGTGCGGAGCCTGGGAGTGCTCAGCCTAGTGGTGCTGAGACTCGGGGTGCTGCGCCTCAGCGTACTGAGCCTAGGGGTGCTGAGCCTGGGGGTGCTGCTTCTGGGGGTGCTGAGCCTGGTGGTGCTGCGTCTGCTGGTGGTCTTTCGGGAGCCTCGCCGCAGTGGTCTCTCCAGCGTGAGCCCCTCTCACCACAGCAGCTGCGCGAGTGGCTTGCCCGGCGCTCCTGCCTTCAGAGTCGCGCTGTAGCTGGAGCTGCTGGAGCTGGAGGCGCTGGAGCTGGTGGCGCTGGAGCTGGAGGTTTTGGAGCTGCTGGAGGTACTGGAGCTGGAGGCACTGGTCCTGGAGCTACTGGAGCTGGAGGTGCTGGCGCTGGAGGCGCTGGACCTGGTAGACATGTGCAGCAGCGTGAACCCCTCTCACCACAGCAGCTGTGCGAGTGGCTTGCCCGACGCACCCGCCTTCGGAGTCGCGCAGGAGCTGGAGGCACTTGAGCTGGGAATGCTGGCACTGAAGGTGTTGGAGCTGGAGGTCCTGGCGTTGGAGGTGCTAGAGCTGGAGGCACTGGAGCCGGAGGCATTGGAGCTGGAGCTACTTGGGCTGGAGGCGCTCGAGCTGGAGGTCCTGGAGCTGGAGGCACTGGAGCTGGAGGCGCTGGAGCTGGAGGCACTAGCGTCGGAGCTACTAGAGCTGGGGGTGCTGGAGCTGGAGGCACTGGAGCTGGAGGCGCTAGAGCTGGAGGCGCTGGAGCTGGAGGTCCTGGAGCAAGAGGCACTGAAGCTGGAGGCACTGGCGTTGGAGCTACTATAGCTGGGGGTGCTGGCGCTGGGGGCCCCGGAGCTTGAGGCCCTGTGCATCAACGACCGTTTTCCTTGCCGCCACCGCAGCTGTCCGAGCGTCCGCCCGAGTCGGTGCTCTGAGTCTTCCTTCGTCCACTGCCCTTCCTCCGGACTCGCCGCTACCTGCCCCGTCTCGTTACTCTGAGCAGCCGGTCTCCCTTACAGAGCGTCGTGAGCCTGTGTCTCGTCCTGCTTCCCCAGTTTGCACTGTTCGCACTGCTCGTTGTCTCCCGCGTCCACGTCCTCCTCCTGTGCCAGGTACTCACACTATGGCACTTCGTCCTTCCTCTGCTCCACAGCGCGTCCCTCTGCCGTCTCCTCCTGCGTCCTCTCTACACCCTGAGTCTGACCGTGTTCTTGCTGCCAGCCCTACTGTCACCCGTCTCCTGGCTACTGTTGTCACTAACCTATCGTTTGAGTCTACTGCTGCATCTGCCTTAGTTGCTGAGCTTGTGGACTTTGCTGCTGTGTGTCGTCTAGACTACGCCGCCAGTCTTGTTGCTGAGTCTGAGTCTGTCTGTCCTCTGTCCGTCGGGGGTGAGAGTGCTCTTGGCACGGACGTCCTTGAGGACAAGCAGGAGGACTTTGAGTGTCTTGCGGCTGCTGTACCTCATCTCGTGGCTTGTCTGCTTGCACTTGAGGGAGACCCGGATGCACTGGACATCCCGACCCTGCGCTCTTACGCAGAGGCGATTACGGGTCCCTACTCCTCTCAGTGGTAGACAGCCATGGACGCAGAGAAGGCTCTGAAGCACAGAAGTCTACTTGAGCAAGTTCTGACTGTTACCGACACTGATGTGGCCAACCGCAACCTCCTCATGTTAGGGTTGTCGTTTGAGACCTCATCTTCAACGTTGATTCAGTAAGTCACAGCTTACATTAGTAAATCTGTTGTGCAATTGGTTGATGAATATTGGTTTGGGCTATGATTCATATCTTTGTTGATTGCTGAGCATTATTTTTTATCTGAGTGTTATATAAATCATAAGTTTTTTTTTTTAATTCATAGTGGTTTGAAAAGTTTGGCGAGGTGCAATTTGGAAATCTCGTCCTGAATACATCGACGGATCAGTCCGTAGCCTGCGGAGAAATCGTATTCAAATCGACGCGCTTTGCCTGCTTGGCGCTTCGTAAACCAAGCAAGGTCATTGATGTAAGTAGAGCCATTGATTTTGTTATTTGTTTATCTCTATCATTTCATTTTTTTTGTTGTCAACCTTTTATTCTTTAAGATTTTGCTTCTTGGAGTTGGTGAATAATTTTCTTTTTCTGTCTCTCTATCTTTATGTCTTCTTTTGAATCAAGGTCGTGCCACCCTCTACTTTCTTGCTCAGACAGTAGCGGCCGCGTTCACGCCGGACAAAGTGCACGTCGGGCAAAGTGCTGCAGTTGGGCAACATGCTCCAGTTGGGCAGAATGCTCCAACCGGGCAGCATGCTCCAACCGGGCAGCATGCTCTGTTCGGGCAAACTCTTCCAGTCGGGCAGACTCCTCTAGTCGAACTGCCATTGCGTAAAGTATACGTCGCCAGCCTCCCATTTAAGATGGGCGACCCACAACCTTGAGATCTTTTTCTTCAGTACGAGGAGATTGAAGAATGCGTTACGATCGGGGAGGCTCAAAGTAGGTTTGTGTGGTTCTACACACGTAGTTTGCCGTTTCCAAATAGGGATGTGTATGTGAGTGTTCTTTATTGTACTTCTATTTTGCTTTTAATATATTCTACTCATTTCCTATCATGTTGTTTAGTAGCAAGTGATGGCTTGTTTCTTGTTTATCCTTGCGTGCATTTCTTCCAGTAACATTTTTTTCATTTTAAAGAATATGGCTTTGTCACATATCGGACGTTGGAGGGGGCAAAAAGGGTCTTTTCTGAGCCAATAAGGATGATTGTGATGAGTAATCTCTCCATTCCAACTCATTATTCTTATAGTACCTTATGTTTGAAGGTTGGTTAGTTATTTAACTGAAACCTTATGCCTTTCGTGTTCGCTCCCTGCCATACCATGCCATTATGTACTTTCTTATGTTACACGGTTGTAAGTTGCACGTCAAGTATGCAAAGGGTAAAGCTCCTTCCCCCCAGCAAGAGCAATTGCAGCAACAGTCACTGCAATAGCCATTGTAGCGACAGCCACATTCATAGCCCCAATCACAGCCACAACCAAAGCCCCAATCACAACCTCAGGCACCGGTACAAGGACAGCGTGAGGCACAGGAAGAGGGACAGCCCCAGACACCGGCACATGGACAGCCTGACACACCGGTATAGGGACAGCCTTAGGCACAGACTGAGGGACAGCCTCAGGCACAGGCACGGGGGCAACATCAAGCACCGGCACGGGGGCAGCCTCAGGCATCGGCACGGGGGCAGCCCGAGGCACCGGCACGGGGGCAGCCCGAGTCATCGGCACGGGGGCAGCCCGAGGCACCGGCACAGGGGCAGCCCGAGGCACTCGCACGGGGGCAGCCTCAGCCTCAACCTGTACCCTAAAAGAAATATGGCACTGCGTTTTTCACGATGCCGATATGAGGGGCAGCCGTGGATACAGCAGCATTACATTAGACAAGACGGCCTCCGATTTCAGACTTGTACAATTTGATTTGTCTGGATTTCAAACCTTGCGTGCCAACCCTGATTAATCATACTTTTCGTTGAAAGTTGGATATTGCAGATTCTTTTATAAGTAAAAGCAGGAAAAATGTGAATTTTTGTTAGACTTCCAAAGAAATTGTGTAACAACTCTGTTTTTTCAAATAGAAAAAAATTAGATACGCTAACCCTTGTGACTTGATCCAAGTCCCACTCTACGAGAAACTGAAGGAATACTACACAGAGAGAAGAGATAAAGGTATTATTTTGTAATAGATGCCAAATGTTATAGATTTCCCTTGGAAAATGAGCTCGTTCCCTGAGTAGCATATGGAATTGACCAAATATCCATTGTAGGTACCCTGAGTTGCTTGTTAGGTACAAGAGTAAACAGCTTTGTTTCTCCTCTAATTTGTGCAGTTGAAATGAAGAGAACAAAGTAAGTTGTTCACACTTTGGGGATACGGGAGAGTGGGGCTTGTCATATGAGCAACCATAAGGCATCTATGTGTAAGGTAAACACTATATACTTGCATAACCATATGAAGCATAAAATAGGACAGTCAAGTCATAGCCACTCTGGTCTGCTGCTGCCCTATCTGATCATTAATCCAAATCCATTGTTGTTTCCAATAACTCAGCTATTAAATCTCCTCTATGAACTTGTGATGCACACAGGACATGAAGCACAAGGACATGCAAGGCAAGAACAATCTTCGAGTCGGCTCCATAACATTTCAGCTGTGCAACCTCCTCTTTCAACCTGTGAACCACTGCAGGAGCCGAGGCAGGACCAAGGGCAACAAAAAACGGGCAGAACACAATGGCTGTCAAGATTGTCCGCACGCCAAAGAATATGTGCCAAACCAGCCAGGTCTTCTTTTTAAGTATCTGTCCACAACATGCTTGGGCTGCCCATAAAACAACATGTGTACAATGCGCTACAGTGGCAGGAAAATTGATATGGTGAAATTCAATAGGGCATTCTCACCCAAAACGACCTGCGTATTGGGACTGTCTGCATTGAACAGCACCACGGCTCCAGCCTCCTTATAGGGTGTGCCGAGTATTTACCTCCAACACCGTCCACCAAAATATATATATATATGGGACCCGCCATCACAAGAGTCAGAGGCAGGGGGGTTGGAGGCACGGATCTGTGCTAGCAGCGATTATAGGGTCTTATATAATGCATTCCAAGGGAAATTGTTTTGATAGATATGAGTCAGAAGGTAAGATAACTGTGCAGTATTGCATAAAGAGGCGATTGAACTGAATAATTGGCGGAACATTGAAGATTCTCCAATCAAAAGTGGTCATCCAAATCTTGCTTCTCTCACCTGGACTGCTGTATGTTTCTCGAGATGAAGGGGTAATCCGTCGCTTAGTCACCAGAGTAAAATTTTCCACCCCATTCCACCTCATTCCATCCCTTTACACCACCCTTCCTCTCCTCCCGCCTGGACTGCTACAAGTTTCCCAAGATGAAGGGATAATCGGTCTCACTAAGCTGCCTTGGTGGCAGCATCGATGTTCTGAGCTATCAGCAACTAGTGCGGCGCGTATAAGGTGATTGAATAAAATAATCGGCGCAACAGTAGAGATTTTACAAGCTAAAGGGGTCATCATTACTTCACAACACAAGCAAGACAAAGGTTAATCAGACTCTGCGTATATAAGAATGATCTTGGACCAGTGAAACTTCTCTTGGCCATCAGGGACCGCTGCCCTGATATTCACCCAAACACCGCGATGAGGTGGAGGTTCGACGTTCGGGAAGAAATGTTCAACACTCAATGTTCAACACCATTCTGCAACACATACCGGAACCATACCGATGGCCATAAATCCCTAACAACCATCGTCCCGCCTTACTAGCACAAGGAGGAGCTTCCAATCACATTCTTTTGAAAACAACACGTATCGACTCGATGTTTTTTTAAGTGCAAAGAGTGGAAAGGGAAAAGTGCAATCTGGCCGAAGACTCAAATTTATCCCCTAGTATAGCATGAGCTTGCCCGAACCAGAGCTGGCCGGCATGGCTCCAGCAGGGCCTATTGTGCTTTAATGCGCAAGTTCGTTACTTGAGCACCGACTGTCGTCGCCATGCTAGTTCCCTAGCCATGCCCACACACCAAGCTATAAACCACTCAATGGTGCTGCCCGTAGGAAGGCGCACTTCATGCTTGCACCCAAGCTTTACCTTTACCTAGACACTCCCCCCCAACACCCTTTCCCATGCCGAGTGTCCAATGCCCAAAACTTAATGCCCAACACTCAACGCCCAACACTCGCCGCCCAACACTCAGCCGCCCAAAACTCAGCTGCACAACACTCACCGCACAACACTCGCCGCCCAACACTTGGCCACCTAACACTCAGCCACACACACTTAGCCTCCCAACACTCCGCCGCCCAACACTTTGCCTCCCAACACTCGCCGCCAACACTCAGCCACTCAACGTCGGCCTCCCAACCCTTGGCTACCCAACACTCAGCCGTCCAACACTCAGCCACGCATACTAAGTCTCGAACACTCAACCGCCCAGCACTCGTTGCCCAACACTCAACTGCTCAACACTGAGCTGTCCAAAACTCGGCCGCCCAATACTCAGCCGTCCAACACTCGCTGCACTCCCCGCCCAACACTCGCTGCATTCGCCGCCCAACACTAGCCGCACAACACTCACCACCCAAACCTCGGCCACCAACCACACGAAGCACAACACTCGTCGCCCAACACTCCGCCGCCCAACATTCATCCGCCCAACACTCAGTCACCTAACACTCAGCCGTCCACACTTAGCCTCCCAACACTCAGTCGCCCAACACTCGTCGCCCAACACTAAGCCGCGTGATGCCCGGTCACCCAATACTCGCCCCCCCAACACTCAGCCACCCACACTTACTCCCAAACACTCGGCCGCCCAGCACTCACCGCCCAACACTCATTAGCCCAACACTCGGGCGCCCAACAATGAGCCGTCCAACACTCGCTGCACTCGCCGCCCAACACTCGCCGCACAACACTCGCCGCCCAACACTCAGCTGCCTAACACTCGGCCGCCCAACTCTTGGCCGCCCAACACTCAGCTGCCCAACACTTAGCCACCCATCATTCAGCCGGCC